GCTGCTTGGCCTGCTGTGTTCATCCAGCCCTGCACCTTGTTGTCTCACATAATGGAATGTATTTTTGTTTTTAACAGTTGAGCAGTAAATTATCCCAGGTGAAATATTTAGAAGAACATCAGATCAGGGAAGAACATGAGTGAAACAACAGACAGTTCTGAACAAGGGTCACCAGACCATCAATGTTGACTCTGATTTTTCTCCACAGATGCAGCCAGACCTGCTGAGATTTTCCAGCAATCTCTGTTTTTGAGCAAGTGTGATATTTTTCTTGATCAATGTTATGCAACGTCCAATCACAATAATTTAGTTACACCTTCTTAACTCACTGCTCATCAAATGAATATTCTCATTTGAAGCCATTTGTGGTGACAAGCCTGCTTACTTCCCAGGATTTTCAAGGAACAACTATGTACACACAGATAAACTAAACACAAGCAACTTTAACATTGTTGCAAGTGGCAAAAGCATTGCTAACAATCAGTACTTAGTCCTATTAAAACTGAAACTAAAAATGCAACAAGTTTCTTACTAGATATTCCACCTATAACTTGAAACAGAAGATAATGGCAGATCCTGATTATTTGCTTCAAGGAAGTCCTTACAATAATAAAGAGGAAAAAAGCTACAACATTTTATACATCACTAAGTAAATCAAGTTTTCCAATTTAAACCACACTAAAGCTTAATTTAGATTCTGTAGCACCTGCCTTGTCTAGAAAAAAAGACATTAAAATATTATATACCCTTCAAGGTGAAATACTTTGCATTAAATTCCTATAATCATGAATGAAATAACATTTAGAAATACGTTCACTCTTTCTCACTATCTAATCTGCTTCCAAACAGTCTAGTTCACTGTCTCTCCTGCTTCGCTTTACTTCCCCTCCTGCTGTGTGACCCTCCAGCTTACTGTCTTACCCACTCACCACTGAACACATTCCCCAAACTTGGCTCATGCTGCCTCTCCCACTCATTAACTCATTCTTCTGAATCCCCTCTGTAACTGACGGTAAGAGACACGAATGGCAAGGAGCAGGAAAAGCAGCTCAGGTTGCCGGGTTGCAGAGCTAAGTTGGAGAAATGGCAAGAGGGAGGGTCCGCACAGATTTGGAGGGTTGGCAATGACTGCAAGCATCAGTGAGAGAGAGAGGAAGGTCAGAAGTGCCCATGAGAGTTAGTGAAAAGGACAGTGATTCAGCAGTGACCGGGAGGGTTGGTGGGTGGGTGGGTGGGTGGGTTCATGAAATGGAAATGTTGGCAGCCAGATGGAGGTTTAGTGAAAGGAGGATCGATCAAAAGGCAGCTCAGCAGGGACCAGGATGGTCAAGGAGAAAGTGAGTTGGAGAAAGACAGAGTCAGTCAGAGGAAAAATCAGCAATGCCAGGGAGGGCTGATAAGAGGAAAGGTCAGAGGCACAAGAGACTGCTGCAGGCTGATTGGATCACCCGTCCGTAGAGCAGGCCCAGCATGAAATACATTAAAACAAAACTCTAGACCGTAACAATAAAAACAGGATCCATTAACTGACTGATGTCATCAATGGGGTGGCCAAAATGTCCTGCCCAATGATTCTCAGCTGCTAGCTATTTGTCTTTCACACCCCAGACAAATGGACATTCAACCACTGAATATCATCCTCACATTCTGTAATTCAGTTCAACTCATTTTTTTCCCAGTGCATCAGAAAAGATACACCTCATCTCCTCAGACTTTCACATGACTACAATCTCTCTTTGGCAACTTCCCCTCTTTTGAGTTGATGGTTTGTGCCTTGGTGGTCACCTCAGAGTTAAACATTGTCTACTGTTGCTCAGGGGACCAACTTTACCAGTGATTGCTCCATTCCTATTCCAGAATATTCATTCCTCCTTTCAATCCACTGTTGGCAGATAGCATTCAGCTGCATAAGCACCATCAATATCTCACCCTCAATCCATCTACCTACTTCTCCTCATTATATCATCCACTGCACCACTGGAACTTCAAGAAGAGCAAACAGAGAGTATGAGTTTTGTAGGGCAGGTGGAAATTACCAGGATGAAGGGTTTTAAACAAGATTAAAAGAAATTTAATTGTACTTGTTGAGAGATTGAAAGCCAATGTAGCTCAGTGAGGAAAGCAGTACTGGTTGAGTGAGAGTTGATGTAGGCTAACCTCAAGCAGCATAGTTTTTGATGAATTGATTTACAGACTGGAAAAAGGGGGGCTAACCAGAGGAATGCTTATAATAGTTGAGACTGATAGCAAAGTAGAATCATAAGACCAAATGTTAAAGTGCACATTTCTAAATCTAATCGATTGACTTAATTCTCCCTCTTGCACAAACAACCAGTTCTAATTTTCTACAGAGAGACAGTAAATCGTGAGCACATTTATAGCAATAAACATTTGATTCTAAGAATAGAGTACAGCTGGAAAAATTACAATTGCATTTAAATGGTAAAAATTAAACAATAGCAGCTTTGGCCCTATTCCTAAAAATATATTTATTAATCACTCTCATGATGCTGGCAAAGGCAGCCACTGTTGTCCCTTCTTGAACTGTTGCAGAGCAGCTTTACATGACTAAGTTGCTGGTTAGGCCATTTTCAGAATGCAGTTAAGAGTCAAGCATGTGGTGTCGGACAGGGGACACAAAATATGCCAGCAAGTTTCCTTTCCCAAATACAACACACCTTCAAAAACAAGGACATCAGAACATAGAACAACCTTCCTAGTGAGAGACTTACCAGATGGCAGTTTGTTAGTTTGCCATTCATGTCAGTGGAAGGCGGAGTCAGTAGTTGCCAATCACGGCCCTTGTTGTAAGTGATGTAGGTCTTCACTTTACCATTCGATTTTTTATTAGCCAAGAAAACCCCTTTAATTCCCTGCACCTATAAGGCCGAAGAGGAAAGGAAGAAGGGAGAAAAAAAAAAGATTTACTGGGGGCATGAACAAATTCAAAGGGTTTCCCAACTAGGGGCTATGTTTGAATGAATGCTTTAAAATGTCCTCAAAGCCAAAATGTCAGATTGATTAATGTACAGCCAAGATTATCAAAGCAGGTGTCTAATTCTAACAGAAGTGCCGGTGGCTAAAACAAAGCCAGATATGTCAGTATGAAACTGGATTGAGTAGAGTGAGTTGTGAAAATCTATTAAGAGCTGATGGATGAAAGACATACACATATCAGAGACTATTGCATTGTAATTTGTCCCTGTTGGTAATAAACCCTTGAGTAACAGATTGCTTTGCTAATTGCAATATACAGTGTCATTCATTCAAGCAGGAAAACACAATCTAAAAATAATACAAACAATTGTTTCCTAGTTATTTCAGATCTTTCATTCATTTTTCAGAGCATTCTATATACATAGAAGTATGTTTTATACATATAAATGGGTTTATTTAAATGTACACAGTTGCAAATATAGCTACCTTACACACATACCAACATCATTGCTCTTTTTGTTACAAACAAAAGCGATCAAACTCTGACCCCAGATCTGTATCTTTCACTTTAAAATAGTCCTCCCTGCTTTAATCTGTACCACAAATCATTCTTTGACAGGAGGGCTGTCAGATAACATACTCCGGGCTAGCTCCATTGTCACTCAATTTCTATGTACAAAGGTGTGAAATACTGTCTGAGTTGCTTCATTCTTTCACTTGCCTACTCTCTGCCCTGGACAAGAGATCCTTTCGGCTGAATTTGTCTTCTCCTGAAGGCACTGGGCTTGGAGGTAGGAAGAAGACTCAATTAGCTCAGGCAGTGGTGAATCCAACCAACCTCATTGCTACTGGATTTAAGTTCTAGGTGAGAAGAACCATGACCAACCTTCCTGTCTTCCTGCCAATTGAGGTGCTTAAGTGATCAACTAAAGGCTACTTAAGAGCCTCAGCCCACTGCCATTGAGCCATAAGACACAAGACAGGTCAATCTGTGCAGGCTGTCTGTCAGTCTTGGGGTGGCGACTAATTAAGGGACTGGACATTGGGATGTGACTGCTGAAAGCCTTGATTCCAACCCTCCTGTCCCCACTATTCTTATAACTCCCAACCTGAGACATCCCCTTCTTCCAATAGTATTTGCCACCTTCTCTGTTACAGTACTGAGGGCAACAGCTACTGGCTTCTGATTAGCTGACAGCTCTCAAAGGACAAGAACTCTGCCGTGGGGTATTGACTCCAGGTGAGGACCTGCTGGTGGCATCACAGAAGCCTGGATCATGTGAGATTTGGCTGGGCTTCAGTGGAAGAGGGTGCTCAGGCCCTGATATCAGCAACAAGATTCCACCCTTGGTGTTTTTTCATCCTTACCAAGACCAGGAACACATATCGTGGGGGAGTCACATCAACAGGCTGTGCAGTGCACCAATATATGACGGATGGTCGGGTTTTTGAGTATCAAAACTTCTCTCAGATTCAATGTTTTCCTCCTTTCAGTACATTGAGGGCTGTAAAACTCTTCACAAACAATAGCACTGTACAACATGTCAGGAAGAGGCAGTTCAAATCGAGCAAACTACACCAAGCCAGAAATGCCCTTTTCACCAAAGAATCAGGGAGCCATGACAATAATTCATTAATATTTCAATATTCTGGATGAGTGCCACTCACATAGTCAGACAAGCATTCATTCTGCCTCTGTGATTATTATTAAAATTCCACAAGAAAAAGTGTCTGCAGATGTAAGATAAAAAAAACCCAGGGTTTGAAATCTTTAAAAAGTAGTTTAATTATTTGAAACTAATTCTTCCTTACCTTTGGTCAATAATACCTCAAAAGAATGTGATTGACTGAGATAAATGTCCCTGTCAGGGTGGATACCAGGTCAGGACAGGACAGAACATCTGTAAGTGGCTTATTAAGATAATCTGAAAACATAGCAACTTCCATGTGTAGACTGGCAATATGCAGCTCCATCTCACAATTACCTCTGGGTCTACGAGTTTATTGCACATTATAACTGAGGACCCAGCAAGATTCTCACTAATGCCGGCTGAAAAATCCCAGGAGTACTGGAATAAGATTGTCACTGAAGTGCGACAAAAGGTATCTGGTTAATTATAGGTACTGAGGATACGGAAGATGGATGCTAAAGACAGTAGTCTGTGCAAATATATGAATGGAATGGAGTACTGGGCTATAGATAGGGAGGAGGTCTCTTCTAGGCCCTCTACTACCATTCTCTGAACTCAGAGCACCACACAATTTTCCCAGATCCACAGGCAATCCAGTGAAATGGCAGTTGCTGAGAGAGATGGGAGGGGATGTGACCTATGCTTCACTCTACAACAGATAGTTACATTCAGTGGGTGAGTGATGGCAGTCCAGTGATACCTCCTACAGGGCAGATTTTACCTCACCCTCTGTAGCAATCCATGCAACTTTCTGATGGGTTCACAAAAGAGAATCTAGCCACTTATTCTCCCCAGCATGCGCTACTTAATAGCAATCATGTCAGAAATTCCAACAATATATCTGATCCTAAGCTTAGGACACTGAGGCCAGTATTACTTTGCCTGAGATCAGATGGCAGCACAGTTCTGAGATTGGATCTGGGGCTTTCCTGATTTGTAAAGAAGACAGAAATGGCGAAATATTTTGATAACAGATCTGGCAGTGTAAGTGGTATGAGATTATCTACATTGTATAAATAACCACAGTACCTTTTGTAATAGTTGACGTGCCTAGAAAAAGATTTTGTCTTTATATTTTTTCTCCCACTGGAGACAATTACCGCGTTTAGTATTCCAAACAGTTGTGTAATTCACATGTTAATTTAGCACGATGTAACATCTCCTTGGAATATTAAACAATTCCAATTCATGCCTGCGCTCTAAATTGGCTGTGACTCATCTCAGTCCTCAATCTGTATCCAACCCTTGAGCCACTTATTTTGCAGCTATTTTCATTTGGGTATTAAGTTGAGTGTCTACGTGTTAGCACCATGAATCCAGTGAGGTTCCTTCCACTTTAAGGCAGCAGGACATAATAGCACAGAATTTAAGAAGCTGACTCAGTAAAACTAGTCTCTTTGAACCCAGAGTAACAATACGATTATATCTTGTCACTAGCAATATCTGAATGCTGTCAGCCTAAAACAGTCACTGTCTCCTCAGTGTTCCTCCATCTTGGAAAGGTTTATACACCCAGATGCAAAGACTGATTTCCCTACCATCCCACACTGCGCATAACCCAAACACTTGCCTAAGCTGCGTTATGACAGGGAATAGAAGAAACATACTTTAGAAGTTGGAAATGGAGAGTTATGTAAAAACAAATAATAACTATACCAGCTCACACCTGCATTGTGCTGAAACATGAAGGCTGCTGGCATATATACAAGTACCTGCTTCCATTATTATAGCTTTCAGCCACATTACAAGAAAAAAGACCAATCAGGAGTCGTGTTTCTGAATATCACTCAGTATCTCTACTTGAATGTTTGTGATTCTGAATAGTGAATTACATGAGAATATCTGATTTAGATCTTTGATTCTTCCCATATTCAAATAATATGCCAGCTCTATTATTTTGAGCCACTTGGGTGAGTTACTGTTACAGTGAAACTGATTTAATGCCATTAAACTGACACAATAACTTGTAAAGAAAACTTATCTATCCAATCATCAAAAAAATCTTATTGCTGTGAAATTGCATTGACATCATCACTTCTAAAACACTCTTCATAGTTTTTCATAATGCATTGTATTAGTTTATCCAGCTGTGAAAATTCTAATCCCTGTCACACCTAAATTAAATTATCATATTATTCCTTCGCTCTTCATGTTTCTCACCTGACAACTTCCTGATGATTCTATTCTATCAAACAGTGAGCAACTTTACAGAGATTAAGCAAACCTCAGCTTCAATCCCAGTCTGTGTTGAATTAAGCAATTATTGCAAATGGACCCAGCAAGTCAGGGGAAATCAACTCTTCTGATCATTGAATCAGCAATCATGCATGAATGTCCCTTAGATGGAGACAAAAGTGGGTTTTGATGGTTTTTAAAGTCAAGTACCCTGCCAATATTTATAGCGTAGGTTCTAGAGGCACAACTATTACAGTGACAAGTTAATATCTTCAGAACGGTGAATAGAAAACTGAGGGCAAAAAAGCTGAAGACATAAAATTTCCTGGAGAATTTATTAGCTTTATTAAGTGTCAAAGTTTGTAATATATAGTAAAGTGAATGACATCAAACTGTCATGTGTCCTTTCTTGTCTACAGACAGAATATCGCCAAAAATTTCCCATCAGAAACACTTTAAGAACCAATTCTCAAGCCACAACAGATTCCTTTAACAACTGCATGCAACTTTTGTAATTTTAGTCAGGTTTTTGCGTCTACTTTCTCCCTAATTTTAGCATAGATTTTTTTCTTCAGTGAGTAGTTCTACTACTGTGTTTGCATCCATTCACATAAATACCATGCTGCCTTTTTCGTTAGATATCCTGCACCTAGTAAACAGCAGTTTTTTTTAACCTTTAATTCTCTGTCAGTTCCAAGAAAATATCAGTCTTCCTGACCTGTTGAGTTTTATTTCTTTTTAGTTCATGTAGTCACACATGTACTACAGGAATAAAGATTCATAAACATCAGAAGTAGTTTAAATATGGGATAAAACCTTATTTACTGAATAAGCAAGTAAAACGCACTGATAGTTTTTCAAGACTCTAGATATTACTTTTGTTTTCCATCATTTTAATTTTATCCCAAATCGGTTATTTTCAATTAAAAATGTGTTCATCAAGTTTCATTTTATTCTTTGTAACTACACACCATGCTACCCTGCTTCAAATGTAAGCCTTTTACTTGATGATTTTCTTCTTGTCACACTTACTGCCATTAGTTTTATGCATGTTCAGATGTCTGTACAGTACAGCCAGTGAGGCTGAGTATTTTTTCCACAGGATTTTCATTAATATCACTGATGCATGTCATAAAAGGGATTGCTTATTGTGTTTAAAAATAAATAATTAACAGTTTATTCTCTTACACATCAGTTGGCTTGAAATGCTGGCTTAGGTACTGACGCCCTGACCCCATGAAAGAAAAAAGCAAAAAGGCACATGACCACAGGTGTGAATTTCTTTGGACTTTCTGTTGCTGTGTTGACTCACTTCACTGGAAGTTATGTACAGATGGGAGTTCTGCCGCCCTTCTGCGAGCCCCGGAACAGCACAGCAGCGAGGCCTGGAGCTGCACGAGGAAGCAGCCCCAGAGCAACACACAGGCAGCGAAGCCCGGATGGAGACTGGCACAGGGGAGGCAGTCCTGGAACATATCTTCGAGATGCTGAGTGCCGGTATGGAGTGGACTGGGGCTTGGAGTGGAGCGGGAAGAGCTGTTGGACTGGGGTCTGGTGCAGGTGGTCAGACCACGTACGGAGGCTCTGTGCTGAGCTGCTACACTGTAATGTCTATTTGAAATTTCCTACCTTACTGTAATGTCAACCTTTAATGATGTCCTTTTTAACTTATTTTTCAACTCTGTAAAGTAATGTAACTACTTTTATTCCTCTTCTGCATCCAAGAATTGTACCTACATACTTGTACCTAAGATGTCACTATAAGAAGGCAGACATTGTAAAAGCGTTTTACTGTACACCTACAATGGAGTACATGTGACAAGAAAAGGATATTCTATTCTATTCTTATAATGAAGTTACAGTGCTTTAGTGACAGAAAGCTCAAGGAAATTCAGGGTTGAGATTAAAATCAAGGACTTTTTTTTTTTACTAACTATATGGTGAAAATATTATGACAGAAATTCTTACAATTGGACTCCAAACTTAAAGTGATTCTACCACTTTGAACTTATTCAAAAAGAGCCCCTACTAAAGCACTGATTTATCATATATGTCCTGGTATTCCCTTGAACCTTGACTAAAGTGCACAATATAGCATGAGATAAAAATAATAAAATGATTCCTTCTTTCCAGGTCTTTTTATGCAATGCAATTTTAATAATTGAGATTAGAGCGATATATCATAATAGGCAGCCTGAGACAAAGAGAGGAATGAATGGGCATTTTCCATTACTGAATTGTGCACACTGATCAATGAAAACAGAAAGATCTTTAGGGTGACCAAGATGGTTGCACCTCTAAATTGAGAAAGTACATTTGTAGTTTACTCATTCACTTGAAGGGTTCAAATGATAATGAAATTTGTAATAGTCACAGGCATTGTCTAAATTAAATAATTAAATTCAAATTTTTAAATGACTGAAGAAACTGTGAAACAAATGGGAAGTTTTACTCCAGTTTGTGCGAACAACTATTGCAGATTTCAAAAATAGCCAGTCTTCTTGAAGTCATTACCACAGGAAGATATTAAGTTCCAGTATGCCACTGAACAGTACCTTTCAATCAGTGTTACTGCATCCCTATACATTTGAAGTACTGAGCAGTGTTTACCTCATGAATATCGATCACAACATTTTCTTCTGGCTGTTTGGTACTCCTGACATCCTCTAGAGCGAGAGTAAAGTACACACCCTTCAGGTCCGACAAGTAGAGGTTATAGGTGTCCGTCTGATGCCACTCCTTAACAGCCACAAATACCTGATTCTCATCTGTACTGATGATTTGCATGTCCTAGAGGATAAAAAGATGATGACTTTGTGCCATATGGATCAGAAATTATTGCACATGTATTAACAGCAAGGTACAAACAACTTTCTAACCAAATCACATGAAAATAGATAGTGTTCATTCATCTAAGACTGCTATCAGTAAGAAGCAAAAAGCTGAATACCTTTGAATGATCAGACTGGCTCTATATTTACTCAGGACTTGATTATGCACAGATGACTCAGTGTTGTTTAGCTTAACTCATAGTATACCTCTCTCTGGACTGAAAGACTGCAGCTTCAAGCCTCATTTGTGCGCTGAAGTTTACATTTTGATCTATTTTGTAGGAATGCCAATTTTTAAATTAGATTTTGAATGCAAATACTGTCTCCCAATCCTCAATTATAGAACAATAAATGAGGAAAATCCTGATAGTTTTTCTGGTTTTTCCCCTCCTAATAACCCAATAAAATTTCTTCTCTTTCAATAGATTTAATTGCAAGAATGTAATCTCTGTCCACAGTTAAACATTTTGCAATAAAAACGGAGAGCTTATTCCATTTGAGTTTTATTTTAAACACGTCCACTAAATTTAAAATTTGTTCCAAGTCAGGAATATTTAAAAAACTTTTGCAATGATACAAATATTGTTTGCATGAGTATAGCATACTTTCAAACCCTGTACAGCTGAAAGGCTGTTTAACCTTATTCAAGGCATATTTGGTTGTACATTTTTCCAATGTGGGGAGTGGGGGAAAGAGCATGATCAGGAAAGCAGCAGAATAGACCATTACAGTTTAAATTCTCCTTCAGGACTGATGCTAGCAAAGTCTAAAAGCCTCAAAATTGGATTTTGTTTTTAAAGAAATCTGTGAACTCTGCCCATGCAACTCAAAACTCAGAATTGATTACAATTGATTTTTAATCTTGCTCAATTTTCTGAACTTAATTGTAACATAACATTGCTGTAATCAAAAAACCATTATAGTTAAAATAAACCTTTGCAGCTGGTAATTGTGCCAATGAAATCATTTTTATTGATTTTGTTGCTAACAGTGCATTTTGATAGTTGTCACCTCATAAATTAACAAAGGTTTAACAATACCTCTGGGGCTACACGTTTTATGGGAAGTTTATTTTGGACTTAAAAAATTGAAAAATTGCTGACAAGGATAACCATTTTATCAAATTTTACTTCACTGCATTTACACAATTACTTAGCAATGTAATTGCCAATTGAACCTCTCAGTATGCCCTTGACCTTGACCTTCTCCGCAGATATGGAAGGAGTTCACCTGCAATGCAAGTCAGACAACAAGCTCTGCAATCCATCTAGACTGAAAGCAAAGACGAACATACAGAACATCTTGATCAGATAACTCCTGTATGCAGGTCATGTTGCACTAGTCACTCAGACAGAAACTAGCCTACAAATGCCCATGGTTTGCTACCTCTATACCTGTCAATTAATTTTTTTTACTATAAATCTCAGGAAAAATGTGTTCACAGGGCATGGTGTCACATCTCCCCTCCATTCCCTTCTTAAAATAAACATCATCCTGTTGGAAGTGGTTAGCAAATTGTACTTCCTTCAGTCCACAGTGGCAGACAATCTGTTTTGCTATTGAACTCTGTAGTCATTCTAATGAGGTCAGCCAAGTACAACTCACAGTTCCCTGAGATAACAAGGTGTAGAGCTGGATGAACACAGCAGGCCAGGCAGCATCAGAGGAGCAGGAAAGCTGATGCTTCGGGCCTAGACCCTTCTCAGTTCCCTGACTGAGGCTGTTAATCGGGTCCACTCAGGGAGCCCTGGCTGACAGACAAGGACAGGAGTGTCAGACATCCTGTTCACTCTGAGGGAGCTGGATCAGTGTCAAGGTCTCTCCATGTGTAAATAAAGGGTGACTTGGTGACACGATGCTGGCTTCTGTGGAGTTATTTCAATAGCGATGAAACAAAAGCAGTACAGTCCTGAAGAAGTTTGCTTTCAACAGTTGTCTTTGAGTTGGGGTAAGCATTTCTGGCATTGTGCTGTTGTTTGGGAAGCTTGGCTCATTTGATCCTGCCATCAAAGATTGGGCCCAGTAAGTAGAAAGAATGTGTTATTTTTTCCAGCCAAATGGCACTGGGGCAGATGAAAAGCAACAAGTAATTCTCCTGACCGCTTGTGGACACACAACTTTTTCGGTTGTTAGGAGCCTCATTTTCGCTGAGGTACCAGATACTAAAACCTTTCAAGAGTTGAAGGATTTAGTTAAGGAATGTTATAATCCTAAGCCTACTCTAATTCTGAGAAGCTATTGGTTTTACTCAATAGTTCAAGGACTAAGGAAATCCATTTTAGGATTTTTGACTAGATTAGGATGACTGGCAAAGGCATGTCACTGGTTTAACCCTTAATGAAAATCTAAAAGACTGTTTAATATGTGGGATTAATGGTGTAACCATGCAACAGCACCTATCAGCTGAAGCCCAACTGGACTTTAAACAGGCACTACAACTGGCTTTATTATTTGGAAATGCGGCAAGTGGAGTATATGAGTTGCAGGGTATTCCAAAGGAAATGGACACCCCCACCCGTCCGACTGAGCTTGGGAAACACCACCTGAATGAAGGCAATCGTATAGTCTGACTCAGGACATATCCTGAACAGAGGGACGCAAAGTCTGACCACAGCAAAACCCCAAAACAAAGCCGAGAATCAGCCAAACAGTTAGCATTTTCTTCAGGATCCAGGCCGGCAAGCCATTGTATACCAGTACACGGACTTGAGACAACAAAAAAAAAGTCTCTTAAACTTAAATTGAGTAGGAAACCTGATAGGCCAGTATTCAGGAGGAAGATTCACCTACATTGGCTCAACAATTTTTCATTAGAAAATGCTGCCTGAGTGAGGTCCTAATTAAATACCCAGATGTTATTCAGGAAGATGTAGGGATAATCAATGGAGACAAGGCCACCTTGCATGTTGACCAGGAAGGAATTCCATGATTCTGCAAGGCCTGCCCAGTGCCATTTGCCTTGCAGGCAAAAGCAGAGGCAGTAATCAGGAGGCTGGAAACAAAGGAATCATCAAACCAGTCCAGTTTGCGGAATAGGCAGCATCGATCGTATCGATTATGAAGCCTGACAGGTTGGTTTGCCTTTGTGGGGATTTTAAACAAATGGTAAACTGCTTTTTGCAGCTGGATAAATACCCAATCCCTCATATAGAGGATTTATACACAAAGCTGGTGGGGGACTGTCCTTCATGAAGCTGGGCATGAGCCATGCATACTTGTAATTGCAGTTGGATGAGAATTCCCAGAAGTAAACTACATAAAGGTTTCAAGATTGCCATTTAGGGTGTCATCCGCCTGTGCAATTTTTCAGTGGTCAATAGAGAAAACATTACAAGGCCTACCCCAGCTTGCCATTTATCTAGATGACATGCTACTAATAGCAGACACCAATAAGGAGCATTTAGAGAACTTGGACAAAATCCTTAGGCATTTCTTTCATGCAGGCATACGCCTTGGAAGGGAAAAATGTGTGTTCCAGGCACCCCAAGTGATCTACTTGGGCTACAGAGTCGACAAGACCAGGTCACGTCAATTGGAAGAGAAATTGAGGGCAATCAAACATGCCCTGGCTCCCAAATCTGTACTGGAGCTTAGGTCTTTCCTTGGGCTGGTGAATTATCACAGAAATTCCATACATAACCTGGCCTCCATCTTGGCGTCTTTGCATCTCAGCCTCCCAGAAATGTTGGTCATAGATAAAGGGCCATCATTTACCAGCAGGGAGTTTGAGTGTTTTCTGAAGTCAAATGATATTCGACACACAAGGACAGGTCCATACCATCCATCATCCAATGGTGTGGCAGAAAGGGCAGTCCAAACTTTGAAGACAGGCTTAAAGAAACAGCTTCACTAGATACCAAACTGTACTGGTTGCTATTTGATTATAGGACCACTCCTCATGCATTTACAGGGATAGCTCCAGCAAAGTTGCTAATTGGGAAAAGACTCCACAACAGTTTAATTTTGATCTTTCTGGCCTGCAGTGGGGAGGGGTGCATGGGCGGGAGTGAAATGGCATCAGGAGTACCAATGCCAGGCACAAGTCTCCGCACAGTGAGAGAGACAGTTTACTTCAGGGGATGAAGTTTGGTGTAGGAACCATGGGAATAGTCCTGCATGGTTAGAGGCGTGGTCGATACAAGGGGTCAGGTCCAGTAATGCATAAAGTCCGGGTCGGTGCAACAGTCCTTAATAAGCACATGGACCATATGAAAGCTGCAAAAGCAAAACTATGTGAGAGTAAAATGAGCCCAGCTCCTTGACAGCCTATCCGCTTGTTCCAGAACCCATGGGATCTCCTTCTCCATCAAGCACTGAAGATACCTCAGAATCTGAGATGGATACGGTGGATGTTGCTGCCTTGATGCCTTTGCTGCTCGTATCAGAAGCAGAGATAGTGGAACTTGACCCAATGCTAAAACATCCCATGGGGAACTACAAAAAAAAATGGTCTATGCCCTTGGACTCAGAGGAGGAGTGATGTAGCAATTATAATGAAATCAGCCAGGTGGACATCTTAGAATACGAGTTCCCTGATTGGGGCTGTTAATCTGGTCCAGTCAGGGAGTCCTGGCTGACAGGTAAGAACAGGAGTGTCACAGGTTCTGTTCACTCAGAGCTGGCTCTGAAGAAGCGTGATCAGTGTCAAGGACTCTCCACATGTAAATAACGAGTGACTTGTAATGGGATACTGGCCTCTGTGTAGTTATTTCAAACTCAAGCCACACATTCGTGTATATGAAAAACATCTACCATCTTTGTCGACTCTCAGAATATGCAAACATCAAGCTGAATCTTAAGACCAAGATAAAAGCAAAAAATTGCAGATATTGGAAATCTGAAACAGAATGATGGAAACTCAGCATATCTGGCAGCACCCTTGGGGAGAGAGAAACAGAGTTTTGAGTCCATAGTGACATTTCTTCAGAACCCTTAAGACCAAGATGTTGGTTTCTGAGG